CCATTCGATTTCGCGACTTCCCGAGCATACGAAGGGCATTCGGGGGCCATTGGGAAAACAAACAAAACAGCCTTGCTTTCTTGGTCTTTCATTCGTTGCCCATTCTTGATGAGCTCAACGCAGCGTCGAGGGTTCGAGTCTCCTTTTCGGATGGGTACTCAGGATCGATCTGCATACAAGGAGTTCCTTTAATGCATAATTCGCTCGCACCTTCACTCTTGACCTTCAACAGCGGCTGTCATTGCGCTTCGAATTATCTTGTCATTTGTATTTTGCTCCTTGTCGAGCTTTCTTTCCGCGCACGGTAGAGGATCCAGGACCACCAGCACACGACATTAGGGGTCTTAGAGGGATACTGGCCATCGAATACTTGCTTTATTGGATTGGGATGATACCAGATGACATGAGATTGTCTCTGTCCGCCTCAGGCGGATGATATCAAGGGTGTGCACCGGATCCCCGACCTGTTCAACTACCCCAGTACGCTGCGTGGTATTGACGGGCCTGTCGAGGAGATTCGGTAGCGGTTGGGTTTGGAACGGACAAAAGTTGAGGAACCGAGTCTTGAGATTGATTGAAGCATCGGCTCGTTCGTGACACAATAGGTACCGGTTCATACAATGGGCGTTGGGAACATGGACGCAGTCACTTAGCAGAAGCGTTCGGCCATTTGGCTTGATTAGTTAGGGTAGCATGGGAAGACAAAATAACCTGCCATTGCTCACACATTATTATTCTCTGTCATGTCGTTACTGTACTAACTCAGTCTTGCGTTCCAATTCATATTAGTGATGCTCTCAACACCCCGCCACATACCCCGGACGCACCTTCACCGCCGGAGCGACACCCTACCCCTTATCAACGTCTTACCTGCCATTGACAATCATCATTTTCAAGTTCTCAACCTCACAACCCATACCATGCGACTGCGACCGCGACCGCGAACGCATGATGATAGTGGCCTTTTAATACTGACCACGATCAAGTGATTCATTCTCCAAGGTCTTGTCGGTGCTTCATTTCGTTTCGCGGTTTCAGGCAGCGTCGTCGTTTTCGCTTTCGGATTTGGGGGCAGATTTGTACGAGATGAGTGGGGCCGTTCGTGTTGCATGATCTGGGGCGCCCATCGTGAGGGAGGATTCGGTCCCGATTTGTGTGAACCCCGCTCCCGGGGTTGCCAAGGGACGAGATGTTTTGTTGTACATGGCTTATGGGAGAGTGGCGGATGCGAGCAGGATGGGTTGGCGATGATGAGTACTTGATGGGATATTGGTAGTCTGAAGCATAAGTTCGCTTTCACGATCGCTCAGAAACAGTCTCATTCAAAGACGACGGCGGACTGTTGGACTCAGGGCCGCCTGGGTCGAAACACATGGTAGAATGCAGTAGCTTTGGAATAAAACATGCTTGAAGATCTAAAAGCACGCTTACTATGTCGGACTGGAAGGACAGTTTTGCGAACTGCGGATCGCAATATCCAAGAAGGAGAAACATGCTTATGGCTGGCAGTCAGAGTACGTAGACAGAAAGATGTGGTGCCTTGCTAATGGAGAGGACATACAGGAATGAAGACACAGTGCCACTAGAGACATCTGTATTAGCAGTCTCAACGACCTCATCGTCAGCATACGGGTGGCTATTAACTCGAGGGGGAATCATGGTAGTATCTCTTGTCAATGGTACACCCGTGGCTTGCTTAGCCGCATAGAATTGCAAAATAGTAACGGGATTGACACTCTTAAGCCATCTGACACGCCCGGACTTAACTTGCTAAAGGGTTCTCGATAGGTTTTGAAATTCGAATGTTTGAATCTTTGCGGCTCTTCTGTGTTCGTCTTTGGTGGCCTCCGGGTTGCGTAGTCTATGGATCCGAGTTCATAGCATCAAAGTTGTTGCAACCAGTGTTATCATAATACAATATGCAACACTTCTCTATGGTGCGCCATGAATCCTCCTTCTAAAGTATTTTCACATCATCGCCACAAGTCCCTTTCCTCCCTCTCACTGCTCAGTCATCCCAGGAGGGCACCCGCCAGTATAGTGTTCACATTCCGCAACCCAGTCGCTGCCGTAGCTCGAGGCGCAGTTCGCTTGGGTGATGGGCGTGCCCATAATACACTATAGATGTCAGCATTGCAAAGGTACTCATAAACACTTGTTGGAACGTCTTACCGCCTGGACGTTGGTCGTCTTGTTCACGCAGTATTTATGGCCAGAGCCGGGCTGGCAGAAGTGATAGGCAGCGTGCAGATCGGGGACGCTCTTCTTGTAACAGCTGCACATCCAGGCTGAAACACTCAGAGGAGCGCTGAGATGCGAAGTCAGATATCACTCAAGCAACAAGGCGAGGACATCTTACAGGTATAAAAATGCAAGAATCGCAGCGGCCTTCATTGTGAAATGAGATGGACGAGTAGGACTGTACAATGGGGTTGAACGATGAGGATGACGGGGTTCTATACAGATGGTCTAGAAAACTTGGCGTCTTCCATTTTATAACCTGTTTGCTATGTATTCTGACAACCCACTTAGTCGTGATAGGTAGCCTCGACTGACTTGTCGAGACTGGAAATGTGCGTTGCCGAGACAAAAAGTCTGTCCCTCCCTGTCTGGCTCCTTGCCTTTGGGCTATTATCGCACTAGTCAAATTGAACTAGGTTATCGTACTTGCCTTTTCGACTTTAGGCGTCCGTCATCCAGCTTTTCGTGCTGAGGCTCAGAAGCATCCCACATAGTGCCGGTAGTATCCCACCGGATGCTATCAAATGCCAAAAGCTTGGTTTCTCAGAGCGGAATCAGTCAACCCAATGATCATGCGGTTCTGTCCTAATTTGGCAATGCTTAGAGTTCTTCAATCCACGCTGTAGAGTTTTGAAAAAAGATGTCAATACGGAGAGTGCCTGCTGACGTCTCGGCGGACCCGACGAGGCGGCACCTCGATATATTAAACAACAATTGAGTTTTTGCAGTTAACAGCCGTGGGAAACGACACACTCTTATCTCGTGTATAGACTCGGAGAGTTTACCTAAAGCAGTAAATAGTACCATAGTAGAACCCCAAAGTGGCAAGATCTCCGGCATCTTCGTTATCGTACTTACTTACGTAGGGCCACTTGTTAGAGGCGCCTTGGTGCTATGATCGTAACTCGGCTTAATGGGAAATCTTCTGGGAAACCCACAAGCCGGCGGAAAAGGCTTGTTCAAAAGCTTGTTTTATCAGCTAGGTCCCTAGACAAACACTTTGTGACCTCAACTTGCTAAGAGTTGCCGGTGAGTATGAAGGGTCCTCGGCGGATCCCCTACCCTAGACCACCCGTGTGTTGGAGATGGCCAACTTTCACAGATTGACAATTCTTCCAATATGGCCAAACGACAGCAAAGTGGGAGGCCGAAGCCTGGGCGCACTGCCGGTCAAGCTTCACGCTACTCAATATTTGCCTGCGGTGATAATATAGCGGCGAGTGTTCAGACGCGGAAGATATCTGGAGATACAAGGGACGGAGACAATTCAGATGGTCAGTGCCTAAGCACTTTTGTAAAAGCCTCACTTTCTGATTCCACTTTGCGCTCTTGGCCATTCGCGGCAGTGTCTCCCGGCCTTGGGGATGGGCTCGATACTGACTATAGGACAACTATTTAAAGTCCGCTGCTGATCTCCCAGAAGTTCTCGCCAATTCCAGACTCATACCTCGTCAGATATTCATTCTCTAACTTTTACTCTCGCTCAATCCCTTCCCAGATTATTCACTCTTTCAAATCTTACAATGCGTCTCACGGGTGCTCTCACTCTGCTGTTGGCCGTTGCCACAGCCTCTCCTGTTGCAGTCGCCGACGTTGGGTCCAAGGACGTAAAGGAGATCAACGGTCAGTATATCTGATATGACATGTTACCGCAATCTTCGCGGTAAAACATCAAAGAGAGTCCCTGCTAACGTAATGTAATAATAGGTCTCCCTGTTGTTAGCGTCGAGGCTCTACAGTCCATCGAGGCTCGCGATGCCCTCATCACCAAAGGTAAAGTAGGAATCATCATGATTAAGATTGCGGTAAGCTGACTACGCCAGACGTTATTGCTGCAGGCAAGGCCGATGCCCCCGTGGAGAACTCTCTCCAAGCCAGAGGTACGCGTCCTATCCTCATTACCTAGGAAGCCATATTAACACGCCTCTCAGTCTGGCCTGCCTCTCACCAGAGTGACCACTTCAGGGCCGGAAACGGTTGGGCCAACAGAGTCAAGACTCGCATCATCGTCAGCGGAGTCCACCTCGTAGTCACTGCTTGGTTCAACGACATCCACACCATGTTTGTGCAATTTGAGCCGGATTTCCCCAGTGGTACGTTCACAAACTTAATGAAGTCTGACTCTCAGGAACCGGAACTGACAAGTAGCAAAGCCCCCAACTTCTTGATGGCTGGTCTTGAGGATCTTGCTACCGGCTTCCTCCGACAACCTTGGAGAATCGCGTGGGATAGCATTTACAGCCTCACTACTAGGGGCGGTGAGACCTTGCAGTTCGACAACCAGTTTGTCATGTGGTGGAAGTGAGCCCATCTTCAGGATATCAACACTTGACCGGGCCGAAGCATCAATTCGTTTCATTCGTCCCTCTCGTAGGAGGCATTGGTTGTGGTGTTGTATGCACCATCGAGTCGGCGATGAGGATGAAGATAATGGTAGTCATTTGGCCTGGTCAGTGAAATTGGGCGTGCTCGAACATGTTGCTTCTGGTTTTTTCTTTCTTATCTTTTTCTTCCTGATTAGCCACCCTTAGGAGGTGTTTGGCACTGGTCGCTCCAGGGGTCGGATTAACCTCAGTCCCTGCTTCGCGACACACTGAACTTCCGGATGCCCATTGCCAGCTAGGGTCTTTTCTAGGTATTCAATCACATCATTCTAGCAGCCATGAAGTAAGAAGCACTGATGCTAAAATATTGCGAATAATCACGAACTAAATCAGTGAGAACAGGTTTAGGTTTGAGAAGTACGAAAGATTTGACCGTTAACGCAGCGATTCCCCCCTTGCCCACTGCTCATCAGTATGCCCACGCACCGCCTTGAGGTACTTATTGAAAGTAGCAGAAGTCTTGATAACTTGGCTGAGATGCTCCCAGTCCAATCGCTCCTTGCGATCCTTTGCTAGCTGTCGCGCAGTGAGCAGCGCATTCCGGATTTGTCTGCCGTTCATCTCTTCTGATGCCAACTGGTCGAGTCTTCTTTCTAGTTCTGGCATGTTGGCATCTTCCTCGACTGATTCCTCAATCATGTCGAAAAAGTTCTGCCAAATTGCTTTACGTGACATCTTGGTTAGATTGTCGTAGTGAATCGCCACCTGGATACGAGATTTGAATGCCTCGTCGAAGGATCCAACGCGATTGGACGTCAAGATGAGAATGCCTTCGTAGTATTCGAGGAGCCGTAGAAAGACTGAATTGAGTAAGCTATGCATTCCAGTAGCGAAGCCAAGAGGTTATGCGTACCGGACACCAGGCTGTTTCGCTGCAAGTCTGCCATAGTTCTCTCTTCTAAGAAAACGTCCGCTTCATCCAGCAGAAGAACTATCCGAATGTTAGTTTCCATTGAAATACTTGTTTTCCTGCTTCGAATTAAGAGAAACAAACCGCAATCCCAAGTTTTGCCCAAGTACATAACTGTCTCGAGATATTTCTCCACATCACGCGCTTCAGTACCTATGTCTCCGCAGGTCACTCGGTACAACGGCTTTTCTGCGATTTCTGCAACACTGCACAGAGTCTCAGCTCATTTTCTGGTATTCGGATAATACGTAATCATAGCTTACCTTTCTGCGGTCAATGTTTTTCCAGTCCCTGGACTTCCATGAAGGAGTATAATCAGGCCATTGCCCTTTCCAGTGATGATATCGTCCATCTTCTTTGCCGAGGTCTGAACATTGACGAGTGCATGGATCATCTCCTTGATCTTCTTATCCAAAACGAGGCGCTGGAAGGCTTTGTGGTTCCAATCTACTGGATGAGTATTTTCGACGTTCAAACTAACTGCAACGAGAAAGCGTCAGTATCATTTCAAAGTGACCAATACTTCAATCTGTGGTCTCACCCCATTTCTTTTGTTGGAGATTGAACCCATGCACAATGGCGGGCATCAGCATTTCGGCTTTGTGCGGTAAGTCTTCTCGACGGTTGACTTTCATAGGCCACGGATCATATTGGCTTGGCATCTCAGATAACGAGGATGTCAAGTCGGTATGCATCATGTGATACGTTGCCGTATCCACCATGAACCTTGCAGAGGCCTGGCGTTAGGTTAGCCTCTTTTCCAAGTGGTCAATCTTAATAGAGTGTCTGCCAACATAATGATGTTTTGACCCGCTGTCCCACCCTGTGTAGCAAGTGTATGCTTGATCTCTCATGCTCCAGAACTTGTTTCCCCTTTGGGTCAACATTTGGACGTCTTCTTCTCTGGCAAACTCGACTGGGTGAACGGAGAGGTCACGAATGTCCGCCCTTTCCTCAGCTACAGACCTGATCAGCCCGGTTTCATGCGTTCGCTTCAAGTCATTGCCGTCGTAGTGCCATTTCCATCCTTTCAGCATGATACCATCCTCGGTCGCCTGGCTGTAATCTTTGAGTACAAATGCGAGTGAGCGATTCCCTCTATCTTTCTTAAGAAGTATTTGATTCGGCTTGAACAACTTGTGGATATGGTGAGCGTTGACATGTCCCTGGGCAAACATCTGTTCAGCCTCAGTGTATTCGGCCTCGTAACTTTCTTCGAGAAAGTTCATTAGAGGCAAAAGCACTTCTTGGTATGGTCCGGTCTCTGCTAATGTTGCTAGACTTTTTCGATGGTGGAACAAGAATAGGTATGGGGCCTCCATTTCTATAGCAGCCTCATAATGTTCAGACTTAGGGTAGATTTGAAACTCCGCAACCTTCTGCAAGGCTTTCTGGAGTATAGGTGACACTACTCTGAGCCTCTCTAGTCTGGAAGAAGGATTGACACTGTTATTTGGCATCTCTCGTCTCTGGTTATCATTTCTTTGGTTTGGAGAGCAACAGTGCTCCCTGATGACAACGAAGCAGAGCGACGGTCGGTTGCCTGCCCACGCTTCGAGGTTGTTGATCTCCCTCTTAGCCTCAAGCCGATCTGCATCGCCAGCAGACTTGGTCTTTCGAGCCACTGGTTCATCTTCAGACAGCTTTCCGGAGTGGTGATGATCCCCGACTGCGCAGATGAGTCGATGAACAGTCTGAAAATAGGGGGGCTGACTGACGGCTACTTCTACACTTCCCGAGTCACTGTCAGAGTCACTGTCGGAGCTGTCGGCAGCGCGGAACCGTGCTTGGCTCTGCAAAATCTCGATTGTGTCAAGAAGGTAGGACACGAAGGTGGATACCTCTCTACCCTGATCCAAAATGTCGACGCCGAGGTACCTTTCTGTAATCAAGGCAAGAGACTCGGCAAGGCTCACATCGTGGCCGGAGTCTTGTTGTTCTTCGATTGTCTGAAGATCCACTGTTTTTCTCTCCTCATTGCCATGGAGATTACTGTGAAAGTTCACCTGCTCGATGTTTCGCGCATCAATATCTTCCCGACGTGCTTCTGTAGATGGCTGTCTTTGAGCCTGCAGTTTCCTCCGCCATTTGGAGTTCTTCGAGGCCTTGAATGATGAAAAAGGAGACGTCCCGGGAAATTGAGGTAGACGACGGCGTTTGTTACGCTGAGAAGCACCGGGATAGGGCATTGGGAATGGTGGCGGCGGCGGTGGCGGCGGCATCCGAGAACGTGCGAAAATACTGGGCTGCACAGACTGGCCCAAGGTGAAAGAACGAGACAGAGTTAGGTCTGGCAAAGACGAGCGTGAAATGGCGCGAGAAGCGTCTGAAAGTGGGCGTTGGATATACTGTGATGGGAGAACTTGTGCGTCTTTAGAATTGCTAAGTTGAAGGTCTAGAGCTGTCATAAGCACCCCGAAGATTGCAAAGAAAGAGTTAATTCAGCTTACTATCGTGGTTCAAATGAAACTTGAGGTGTGATAACTTTTCGCGTTCTTGCTCGGCTTGGCTCTGAGTATCGTCCCGTGAAATAGTTGAGCTAAGGAACAGAGGTGCCACATCCTGCTCATTATTCTTTGATCCACTCTTTCGATCAAAACCGTCTTCTGATACACTGCTATAACTGTTTGAGACTAGGTTGGAAAACGTGATACCGTCCAGGCGTCGCTCGGAAGGGGTTGCGTTCGATTGGTGTTGGCTGGGTCCCCGACTTGTTGGAACCCTTGATAGATTGATAACACCCGCGGGAAGTGACATAGCTCATGTGCGGCGTGTTGAACATGAGATAAACAGAACAAATAAGGAAAGAAAGCAGTGGAAGCACTTCATCCGTACAGGGTGCCCGTGGCCAGTTGATGTTTCTTCGAAAAGGATCGGGACAATGGGTAGAAGACTCACATCTGCGAGATCAATCAGGCTGGAAGGCAAGCTTCCCCTCATTTTGTCACACGTGATTTCGTCAGATGACTGCCTCAACTTGTGTGAGACCTGCGGACTGAGATAAGGGGTTACAGCATGTCATCTTGCTCTTACGCCGATCCAATGAGATGTCGCTGCAGCACAGTGCTGGGTGCCCTTAGAGTAAGCGATGCCTCTTCGGCCGCGAAAGGTCTCACAAAGTCTCCTCGACCTGGCTGAATGTTTTTACTTCCACTTTGGATATCGATGATCAATTGAGCTGATTTTCTGTTCAAAGTCATGGAAGATCACAGTCTGTATTTGGCGTCATCTAAGGTAATCGAAGATCTCAACTTGTCGCTAAAGTTCCGATGTTTTCTCCTGAACGCAGCTCTGAACCTGGCTTGTTTCATCAACCGCTCAATCTTGCGCCCTCTGTCAGTGAACACATGCCTATCTTCAGAAAGTGCTTCGGCATCTATGGGCGTATCTGCACCAAACCTCCATGATACGATGATGATTTTGATAATTCCTTCTTTTGATTGTGACTTGCGCCCGATCCATTCCATGAAGTCACCGATCTTGAAATATTGTTCCTCAGCTTCCGATTTCTCGAAAGCAGCCTCAATAGCGTTCATGTCCAAAATAACGAATAGCCGCTTAAAAGTTGAGAGGCACCGATCAAGTATATCAAGCCACTGGCCAATGGTGACAGCGGACTTGAAGTGTTTAGGTGTGAGAGGATTGATGCCTTCGCTTACCACAGTATCATTCAGTGCCAGAGCCTGTGAGATGAGGGATCGGATAATGCCTGAGACCGACGGTAGTAGGCTATCATTGTCATGCTCAATGACGATTGAAGACAAAGCCCAGATGACGGGGTATCCTTGCTCAAGCACTATATCGAGGAAATCAGCCGCGAAATCGAGCGAACTTGTCTTCACCCCTTGCCCTTCCGCGAGTAAGAGAGAGGACGAGGGATCAGAGGTCCAGGCTTTAAGTTTGTGTAGCTCTGATAGGGGTAGTTGTGTGGGCGCTTTCTGTCTACGTCGATTGCGCATCGATCGGCACCATGCCAGGCTGTCATCTGCCACTGCCGTATCCTCCAGTAGTGAGACTGTCCTGATGTCCTCAAGTTGGCTGGCTCTGAACATTTGTTTATGTTCTTCTTTCAACGCCAGTAGTGACTGGGTCTGGAGAGACTGCTGCTGCTGCATGACTTTGAACTAGGTAGTTAGAATCAACTCTAGAGAACCAACTGACCATGTCATGCCCTGAACTTACAAGAAACCATCTCTGTCAACTGCAATATGGTCTTATTCTGCCTGTGAATATTGACATGTAGGTCTCGGATCTCAGCCTTGACCGCAGCGCTAGCCAGCTCATCCACATGTTTGGACCGCTCTGCGATTTCCTCGACGATAGGTTTGAACCCCAGACTGAATGGCTTGATAATGGCCGTGAAGGAGTGAGACAATTTGCCTTTCTTGTACCACTTGATCGCCATCAATGCGAATTCTATGATCTTTGCGTATAGCTGTGATACGGCGTCCTGCATGCGCGGCGTGGGATAAAGCACAGAGTGTAGCTCGGTTCTAGGCAGCACGAGTGCGATTCGAGACACCGCCTTCGATATCTCTGCAAGGAGCTCTTCATGATTGAGGACAGCCTATGTAAGTTTGATTAACATGACGCTAAGATGACTGAAGCGATGCGATGATGCTCACAACGAACAGGAACTTCAACGCGCCCCAGCCCAAAGACACGTATTCAGGGTGATGTTGTGAGAAGGTGTCAAATATCGCTTAACAGTAAATCGAGAATTAGTGCATGCTCTTGCTTTACGAAATTGACGACTCGTTTCCCACAGCTTACCTCCATAGAACATGATTCTGGATGAGCAGGTTGTCAGAGCAGACTGAATTTTGGATCCTTTGGACTTCGCCCGGTACTCCTGCCGGGCAGACTCGACCGCAGACTGCACATCACTCATGGAGTGCTGACTTCGGAGCCGTAACTGTTGATACTCTTCATCTGTAAGCTCTTTTCGCAAGACTGAGATAGCGTTATCGTATGCATTCTTCGCGGGATCGAACCATCTAGTAGTATCATGGTTAGCCGAAAGATCCGTAGACTGTCTACTATCTGCATAAAGGGTCATATCTGACCTCTGCTGTGGGTCGCTGATGTACCATCGTGATATCAAACTCCCGTCGTGATTATCAGCAACTACACCGGGGAGCTGAGAGACTGCTGGGTAGTTCAAGTTCTCATATGGCGTTAGGTTTGAGGTGATAGTTGAGGCCTGAAGTATGGCTTCTGGGCCCCGTTGTTGTGACGGTGCTTGCATGAAGCTCATCACATAATTCGCGAGTGAATGCACGCCGGATGATGTCAAGGGCAAGGCTAGCTTCGAAAAAAGACGATGACAGTGGTGTTGCCTAATGCAAGAACACCCCTCATATACCTTACACAATTCTGGACGGCAAGACATTGACCCGAGCAACGTGAGGTGCAGATGCCCTTGAACACTTTCTCCTATCAAAAAGCAGGGTGATTGTGCTGACTACAGTCTGATTGGCGGAGACTGGCCGGTATGCCTAACATGAACATGCCTTACAAGCACCCAAAACATCTCTGTTTCTATTGGCACAGAGCCATTCAAGCCATGGCTATGTTGGATCTCTTCGCTCCGGGATGGCGGTCCAATGCAACCGGGTCTGTACCAAAAGGGGAACATTCAAGACAAGGAGTCGGTAATGAAATACAATTGCACAGCAAAAGCAGCTTAGAGCCAAGTCGAGATTGTACACACGGAGAAAAGACTCCCATTCCTCAACACCAACCTAGGTCATACTTCTACATATACGAACAATTAATACATCCCGAGCCATGCAATTGCAGCCGCCCGTTGACGCCGCGTCTTCTCTTCATTGTGGGGGTAAAATAACATCATCTTAAGCCTCGTCGTAATCTTTCTTCCATAGAAGTCGTCGCTTGGAGAAAAAGCAAAGCGCGCAAAAGGAGGGGGGTGGGAAGGGCAGCGCTTTCAGCTTTACTCCCCACCAACAGTCGTGGAACTGATCAAGTACCTCTCCCTCCAATCATGACAAAATCAAGTCTATTATACCTCCTCTGCAGCAACGGACTCGTAGCCGCCTGCTCTCCTCCGGCCCCTGCTCATGTTCATCAAGGTCGGGCTCTCGTACATGGCGGTGTAGTTGACCGGCTCGCCACCCAGCATAGCAGAACCGTTCTCGCGCTGGCCAAACGTAGGCGCGGGATCGCACCAGAAGTCGCGGCAGTTGGCCATGCAGCCGTTGGAGTAGGGGTTCTTCTTCCTGCGCTTGTTCTGGGTTGCGGCGCCGCGACCGCGGATGGTCTCGATGAAGGGGTCGACACCGAGGAGACGAGACCATTGCTGAAGACGGCCGCCCTTGTGCTTGTGACCGTGAGCGTGCGCGCCAGTGGATTCCGGAGGGGTCAACGATGGGTGGTTCGGGTCGAGAGGGGTGCCTGTTGAGGTGAAAGCGGACGTGAGAGAACCATCTTGGATGCCGAACATGTTTTCGTAGGTGGTCATTGCGCGAGAGACTTGGACGAATTGGACAAAAAGCAGCATGCCAACCCAAGTGAGCTGCAGAGTTGTCCACACAGTAAGGATAGCCGTGTAGCCATCGGCGTTGACAACCTTGCAGAGGCTGGGGCTAAGGAAGTTGCAGGTTTCTGAGACCTTGTCCGAAATGTCTGTGAAGTCTGTGCCATTGGTGTTAGCGTGGAAGTAGAGCTCAGAGAATCGATGCTTACAGTAGTATACGAGGAAGTCGTAGGAAACGATGCCCAACGTCAAGCTGATCAGGTACATAAAGAAGTGGCGGTGGTTGTTAATTCCAACGCAGTTGTAAACCCAAGGACAGTGACTAGTCTGGTCAGTGAGGTTTGACATTAGAGGTAAAAGGTCTACTCACTGGTCGTGTTTCGCGACACACTTCTGGCACCGCTTGCAGTGCTTACTGCGGAGAGGCGTCCGGATCATGCACGTAACACAAAAGTTGGTCTCATCAAACTTCCACTCCTTGAGCAGCTCATCAATGACGGCCTTTTGCTCGGCAATGCCGTTCATCTTGGGGACAAATCCGGGGTCGTATCTCATCGCAGCGCTGTAGAAATAGGCACAGAGACCGAGGAAAACGCCAAAGATCAAGTTGAGCCACCAGTGAGAGGAAGTGCCAGCTGTGTGATATTAGCAAACGATTCAGCGTCGTATAGTGTAGCAAAGCTTACCAGCAGACCCGGTAGTCGCGGGAAGAATAGTAGTCAACCACCTCAGACCGACCAAGAACAAAGATGCAGAAAAGATACCAGCCAACCAGGGCTACCCTTGTCAGTCCGAATCATCACAATGCCACTTGAGGGACTTACAGTCTTGTGGAAGTGTCTCATGTCGGGAGGCGCAAACTCGATGACCTGTTGAGCAAACCACTGAAGCGCATAACCAACGACTAGAGAGAAGAAGACACCAGCAAAAACGTTCAAGCTTCCCAGTATCGTGATCATGGACCAGACCAGAAGGAAGGGCCACAAGAACAAGAACTTGGTCACGAAACCCCTCTTATCCTGGCGTAAGAAGCGCGAACCAGGGAAGCTAGGCTCGATCGGCTGTCCATCTTCATCGTACCCGCACTCCTTAAGGGCCCGATGCCATGCGCCAGTCGTGTTAAGCTCCTTAGCCGTGACAGCGGGCGTCTTGCCAGTCTGCGTCTTTGCGAATCGATCCGCTCCGTACTCGAGGAGCCTCTGTATACAGGCCGGGGAGCCCTTTACTAACGCCCAGTGAAGCGCGGTGAAGCCCTGCTCGTCCGTGGTGTGGATGCTAGCGCCCCAGCGGAGGAAGAGGTCTACGCATTGAGGGAAGCCCTTGTAGGCGGACCACATGAGCGCCGTGTGACCGTAACTATCGAGCACGTCTACGGGGATGCCTTGGTGGAGCAGGAGGACGAGGAGGAGGGTGTTGCCATTGAAGGTCGAGATGTGGAGGGTGTTGTAGCCCTGGGCGTCGGTGATGAGGGGATCGGCTCCGTGTTGGAGGAGGAGGTTGACAGTGTAGTAGTGACATCTCTGTGCGGCCCATTGGAGAGGTGTTGCGATAGACTCGCCTCCCTTCTTGTTGATCTCTGCGCCATTGTCGATGAGGAACTTGCACATGGCATACTGGTTGTTTATAGCTGCCCACTGGGATGTATTAGCACAATGAGATCAGACCTGGCCGTGACAAAGCTTGAGAGGCCTTGAAAGAGGTAGCATGCAACCTACATGCAAGGGTGTGATGCCTTCATCATCGGTGAAGGTCGCATCGTACTCGCCCGACTCGAAGAGCTTCTCCATGGCCGGAACGTCTCCTACACGCGCAACCTGCATGATGTCGTTCTCTGCGCTAGGCGCATCGCCGCCGATGCTTCCCATCTCCAGCTCATTATTCAGTGTGGGCGCGGCGGCGCTCGTCTTGTTTGCAGGTTGATTCGGGGCCACGGACGCGGCAGCGCCGGCGGCGGCGGCCGGCGTGGTAGATTTGTCCATCGAAGTCGGCGGGTCGGCGGTCGCGAGGGCCAAGCCTTTCTTCCGATGTCTCGATTTGAGAAGGAGTACGATCGATTATCGATTCGGAGGAGCTGTGGAGGGTGGGAAAGGAAAGAGTATTATTTTGTTCGGGGAGTTTAAACTTCGGCTCGAACCTAGCGTCGCATTGCTTGAGGTAAGGGGATGGATGGATGGATGCGGTCCAGGCGAAAGAATTGAGACGGGGGGCTCGCACGCGCGCAACGGTGGACAGGGGTGTCACCAACAAACGAGAGATTGATGATAAAAACACCAGAGTGGAAACAAAAAGTGAAAAAAGGTGCCACAGTTGGAAGGAGGACGGAAAAGACGCCCGGAAGCCAAGAGTGACGAGATTGCGTGTCGTCAGCTTTGGCAGAGCTCGGCAGCGTTGGCAAAGCGTTGACGACTGGGGAATTCGAGGTGAGCACCGAGTTCAGTGAGTGGAAGGGGATCGCCGGGAGACCCTCCCCCCCTAAATCGGACTAGCGAGGCTGAGCTGACAAAGGCGGGTCGACCACTGCTGTAGTCGTCTGCCGTGATAGCCGTGATTGGCTGGAGAAGACTCAGCGCCCCAAAGCTTGGCATAAAGTGCCAGTAACACCCATGCTTAGCCTCACCTTAGAGGTTAGGGCGGATTCCTCGGCCTCCTCAGCCTCGTCCGAAAAAGCGGGTAAACTGTGGCTGAAGTTCCGAGGTGCACGTACCACCTGCCACTCCTGCCATTCTCCTGTCTCTTGCGCTCGTTGGGGAAGGAAAGAGCTCCACTGACGGCATTTGGCGATTTCTTCTGGAAATCTGTCAACGACCACCCGACACGACTCACACCATCCAACCCCTCCACCCCTAGTCAGCCGTTTCGCGCAGGGTATCCGGGGACACTCTCCCAACACACTCGATAATTCTCACCATCGCCAGCAACAGCGAAACCGCGACCATGGCCGACAAGATGGGCTCTTTCACAGAGTTCCTCGAATTCATCATGACCCCCTCGACGCCCGTCATCCTCATCGGCGCCGCCATCGTCCTCCTCTTCCCCATCCTCCTCCACTACATCCTCATCAAGTCAACACCCTACACAACCCTCCCCTCCGTCCTCCTCCTCGGCCCCGCCGGCGCAGGCAAGACCGCCCTCCTCACCCTCTTCGAACGAGGCGACGCCCCCGCGACAACCCACACGAGCCAGCGCCCCCAAACCGTCGAGCTCACGGCCTCGCGCGACAGCAAGACGGCCCAGAGCTTCCGCAATCACGACGACACCAGCGGCACCCACACCAAGTTCCTCCTCGTCGACACCCCCGGTCACGGCAAGCTCCGCAACTACGCCCTCGGCAAGCTCGCCAGCGGCGCCGGCGGCAGCAAGAGCAAGAACTCCAAGCTCAAGGCCATCGTCTTCATGGTCGACGCCGCCGCCATTGGCGAGAACGAGGCCCTCGCGCCCACGGCGAGCTACCTTTACGAAGTCCTCCTCGGTCTCCAGAAGCGCGCCGCCTCGAGCAAGTCGTCCAAGCCGCCCCCGCCCATCCCCGTCCTCGTTGCCGCCAACAAGACGGATCTGTTTACGGCGCTGCCTGGCGCGCTGGTCAAGTCGAACCTGGAGGCTGAGATTACGCGGATACGGTCGTCGCGCAGCAAGGGCCTGTTGGATTCTGGCGTCGGCATTGATGATGTCGGTTCGGAGGAGCACGATGATTGGTTGGGCGCGTATGGCACCGAGAAGTTCACCTTTGACCAGCTGCGCGAGTTTGACGTGGAGGTGGATGTTATCGCGGGCAATGTTACTGGCAGCGCAACAGGCCCCGATAAGTGGTGGTCTTGGATTGCCCAGCGGATATAATGAGTGATGCAGCAGTAAATGGCATATAATACTACAAAACACATAATTGTTACGTCGATGACAAAAGATATCTCTGTGAACTGAAGATTGCGCAAAAACTTTGTGGTTGTGATTCTATCCTTATAGGATCAGACTGGCTGCCCTGTTCTCTATGTAGATGTTGAGTCTACTCCCATCCCAAGATTTCCAAGCAAATGCTGCCAACCGGGGTCAGTTGATGCGACCCAAGATTCGCCCCTGCCACCTTTGCTATGCCCGCTTTCAAAACGCCGATACCCAGGTAAAAAAGCAACATCATCTGCATCCTCATGCGTAACCTTGATACTCTATATAGGCCAAGTCGTGATTTTTTTGATTATCGTAGGAGAAAAGGGGAGAAAGCGCCTAGGCCTTCTTGTTGACGACCCAGGTGAGCAGATCGACCTTTGTGACGACAGCCACGGGCTTGGACAGGTTCTTAGCGCCCTCGGCCTTCTCAGTAACAACAGCAGCGCTGTTCCACTCGAGGAACTTGCTGAGGGTGGAGAGAGGGGTGTCGAGGGTAATCTCGACAAAGTTGCGCTTCTTCTTGCTCTTCTCGCCCGTCTCACCAGCCTGCCTGGGATCCGTGACGACCTCATCGAAGCGGCCAAAGTCGAACATGACGTCGCTGACGGGGCTGGAGCCCGTGGCGCGGCCCGAAGAGATGTAGCTGAGCAGGTTACCGAGCGTGACGAGACCGACGAGCTTGTGGCCGCTGGCGGACAGCACGGGGAGCTGGTCGAAGCCCTTGTCGCGCATGATCTCGGACGCCTCGGAGCAGGGGCTGGTCGCGGGGACGGACATGACGGGCTTAAGGCGGAGAGCGCGGACGGTGGCGCCCTCGTAGGGGTCGACGGAGCCCTTTGCGCTGGTGGCGTTGCCGTTGGAGGTGGCCTGGGTCTCGAGGCCGTTGACCTCGGGGAGGAGGTCGTTCGCGGCGAGCCAGTCATCGTCAGCGAACTTGGAGAGGTAGGAGCGGATGCTGTCGGGGAGAACGACGACGACGGTCTGGCCCTTTCCGAGGCCGAGGTCCTTGACGGCGCGGACCATAGCGGCCATGGCGGAGCCAGAGCTGCCGCCGACGAGGAGACCCTCCTCAGCGATGAGGCGTCTTGCGAGCTGGAAGGACTCGCGGTCCTCGGTCTTGTACCACTTGTCGACGAGGTCGCGGGAGAGAACGTCAGGGATGAAGTCGTAGCCGATACCCTCGACCTTGTAGCCCTCGTTCTCGTGCTCCTTGTTCAGGGACTCGGGGAGGGCGAGGATACTACCGTGGGGATCGGCTGCGATAATCTTGACGTCCTTGTTGTGCTTCTTCAGACCGCGGGCAATGCCGGAAATTGTACCTCCCGTGCCGGCGCCGGCGACGAGGGCATCGATCTTGCCGCCCGTCTGGGCCCAGATCTCCTCGGCGGTGCCGAACTCGTGGGCGAGCGGGTTGTCGAGGTTGCCGTACTGGTCGAGGATGTGGGCGTTGGGGATCTCCTTCTCGAGGCGGCGGGCGACGCCAATGTGCGACTCGGGGCTGTCCCAGGCGGCTTGGGTCGGGGTACGGATGATGGTGGCGCCAAGGGCGCGGAGGACGGAGACCTTTTCGGCGGACATCTTCTCGGGGAGGGTGATGATTGTCTTGTAGCCCTTGATGGCGCCAACGAGGGCCAGACCGATACCACTGTTCAACGTTAGTCGTGAAATTTGGTGATTTTAAGCTTCGTTAGGACATACGTGTTTCCACTGGTAGGCTCGATGAGAGTGTCACCGGGCTTGATGCGGCCAGTTCGCTCGGCCTCCTCAATCATGCGCAGGGCGATTCTGTCCTTGACACTGCCGCCAGCATTGAAGAGCTCGACTTTGGCGTAGACCTCACACTCGATACCCAAGCTCTGAGGGATCTTGTTGAGGCGGACCAGAGGCGTGTTGCCGATGAGCTCGGTGGCCGACTTTGCGGTGACGGCCGCGCGAGTGGCGTTGATGGCGTCTCCCATGATTGCGATTGGGATGGGTATAATGTGGTTGGCTTATAGGAGGGAGACTGATAGAGGGGAAGAGGAGAAGGGAGGAAGGAGAAGAAGTAGGAAAGGAGAAAGTGTAAGAATGAAAGTCAGTCCACAGACTATAGATATGCAAGTGGTAGGAAAAGAGAAACGCAATCGTCGTGGTGGGATGGTGCGAGAATTGAGACGGAGCGAGGGAGAGCACAGGAATCGGGAGTGAAAAATGACCCCGCCAACGCCGAAGATATCCGCCCACCTACCAAAAATGGTCACTTTCCCACCCCTCTGCTACGTTAAGGTACCTTCCCGAGCTTACCTAAGGCAGCTGACCATACAGGTACCCAACACGCTGTTCAGTACCACTGTACCAGTGCAGGTACACCAAGGAGTGACCTGACAGCTTCGGGACAGTGCAACGCAGCGACACAGGGTCCGGGCCTTGCAGCGGCTTTGCGGCGAACGGCGGCGGTAAAGAGCCCCCACACGATACCTATGTCCGGCGGCACACTTGTCTCTGGCCCTTACGTAAGGCAGCCCCAAAAAGCTCGGCCGGTGAAGTTTCTGCTTTTTTTTTCTTTGGTGTCGTTCTAGAAATTTTCTGATGCTGCAGGTCGGGCCATTTCCAGTTGTCATTATGTCATCCCGAGCCGACTTTCAATCCCCGTCACTCGGCGTTCCCCGAGTCTTTTTGCTTCATCCGAGGCACGTGGGGTTTACCAGTGTACGCTGTTCAATTCCTGACTCGAGGGACTGCATAAGTGCACTTCTGGATCTTGAATCTTGGAATGCGGTCGCCGCATACTTATTGTCAGCGACAATTGCCAACGAAGCTTTAGATGGTTCCGTACATGTATCTATGTCTCGGCCGGGACACAGTTCGGCCGAACGAGATGAATAAGTCCTTCTGACTCACCCCACTCGCGTCTATCTCAACTCCACGTGACCATGAACACTGTCAGCATTGAGGGATAACTATCAGCATACGTGTAATCGAATGGCGATTTACCTTTCTTGAATCAAATGAATAGAGATGAAGCACGGCACAAGACGTGAGTGAACTCGTCCGCAATTCGGCCGAAGGACCAGCCACTGATCTCCTATTCGGCAAGCCACCGCCACAATCCATCATTACCTAAGCGTACTAAGCAGTGTTCATCCGCCCGTGATGGCCCGGGATAGAGCATATTGGCCCCGTGTAAGTCAATAAGACCAGTTGGCTTTAGAATGAGTGAGATATGATCAAAGTATATAAGGCCTCTATATTCGCATTGTCTGTGTGTGATCAATCCCAATCCTCGGTTGCTTCCAGTCATGACGGACCCCACTGCATCAAAGAAACTCATCGTCATCCTCGGTAGCTCCTATGGCGGTCTATCCACAGCCCACTATCTTCTCAAACATGCCATTCCAGCTTTACCAAGCGCAACAGACTTCAAGGTCGTTCTCGTCAGCCCCTCCGCAGAAGTCATGTGCCGGCCTGCATGCCCCCCCGCACTGATATCTGACGACATGTTTCCCCAAGACAAGCTCTTCGTCGACATACCCAGCGTCTTCAAGCAATACGATAGTGAAAGCTTCCTCTTCATTCAAGGAACCGCAACAAGTCTAAGGCATGGTGAGAGAACTGTATCCGTCACCCCGAAAGTCAAGAGCGATCCAATCACTCTTTCCTACCACGCCCTAGTGGTTGCTACTGGTGCATCAACTCCCTCGCCTCTCCTCGGTCTCGACAGCGACTCTGAAAGTTTACGAAAAAGCTGGGCCGATTTCCGCGAGACTTTGCCGAAGGCGAGAAGCATAGTGGTCGTAGGTGGAGGGCCAGCGGGTGTCGAGACCGCCGGCGAGCTGGGCGAGCATTTGAATGGTCGAAAGTCGCAACGTCCAAAGGTTCCCATTACCCTTGTCTCATCTGCCCCTGAAATTCTTCCCGCGCTTCGTCCTGCTATCGCCCGCAAGGCAGAAGGTTATCTCGCTCAGGTCGGAGTCACTGTCCTGAAAGGGGTTCGGGTAAAGGATGTGGTGCCGGCTGAAGCTGGAATCACAGGAGTGACGACAAATGCAATGGTCACTCTGGACAGTGGGAAGACAATTGAGGCCGAACTTTACATCCCCGCAACTGGTACACGACCGAACACGAGCTTCATCGACGACGATCTGCTCCTCTTTGATGGACGAGTCAATACGAATCCCCTAACTCTTCGCGTTGATACAGCTGGACCCCGCGTCTACGCCATCGGCGACGCGTCTTCGTTCGCCAGGCCAGCTATTCACAACATCCTGAGTGCGGTTCCGGTCATGTGCGCCAACATTAAGCGGGACCTACTGCTGGCTTCTGAAAGTCCGGAGAGCGCCAGTGACAAGGATAGACTATTCGAGGAGGACGTCCGTGAGACTCAGTTGGTTCCGGTGGGAAAGAGCAAGGGGGTCGGGGCCGCCATGGGATATCAGCTGCCCAGCTTCATGGTGTGGATGATCAAGGGTCGGGACTACTGGCTGTGGACGACGGGGAATCTTTGGAGTGGGAAGCAGTGGGCTAAGGAGTCTTAATTGCTTGATCGAATCCATGATGTTTCTTCTTTTCTTCCTTTCCATGAACGGGTGGGTTCCTGGTTATTTGTGTGTTAGCTCTGATGATTGTCGAATGATGAGCTGACAATCTCCAAGATTTCCCTAGTCTCTTCGTGTTGTCCATGTGTCACACTAGTCCAGATCTCACAATCATTGTAAGATGTTCAACAGCAAGTATGCCCTCGCCATAACCACAAGGTTTGAGTGAGATGCTAAGTAGACTAAAACCGAAACATCTTCCAAGACATCACGAGTGCCGAAGCGAGCATACATGGCTTGTATATAAAGTAGTGTGGTATCACTGCCAACGCTCTCATCAAAGTACTATCAAGTGGTCGAGGTGGTCTAGATTACCTGGGCAAACTTGGCCAGGTTTGCTAAAGGTACCAATCAAACATGTTTGTGAGTCGACGGTCCATTTCCAAACGGCAGTAGGTCTTGGGTGAGCACACACACGTTCCTGCCGCGGTGTGGAATACCTTTAGCATGATGTTGTGTTCACGAAATCGCTTCCTTGGCCATTGTTCCAAATTTCTCAATGGGAAGGTCTGATCGATCCTTGCAAACACTTCCTTCCTTTGCTGGGTATCAAAAGCTGAACACAGGACCGAATTTCACGTGATTGCCCTGCTGTGATAGGTAAAGACAGCGCCGGGAGCCTGAGGCGGAAAAGTAGAGGGCATCGTGAGGTCGTTGTGTGAATATGGAGGCGGGTGATCGAATACTCACTTGCCCAGTATAAAATACCACGCTTAATCCCGCACAAGTGAATCTTATCTCTTTTTCCTCCACCACAAACTTCCATTCAATATCATAACCAGATCCCAACTTCACCCCACCAAGCACCACCCGCACTATCAGTCCACACTCCAACCGTCAAGATGCAGATCAAGAACATCTCCCTCCTCTCTCTTGCCGCTATGGCTGTCAAGGTAACTTTTTGCAACGCATTTTCTCCATCAAAATTTCCAGATGCAACTGACACTCGAAATAACAGGGCACGACTATTGACAAGGACGTCAACGGCCCCATGGGCGTCGAGGGCTTCCACCTCATGGCCATCGAGTGGGAGGTCCAGGCCCACCCCGGCGGTGAGAACCTCACCCTCACCGGCACCGTCGAGGAGGTCCTTAAGGAGCTCCGCACCATCAACCCCAACTACGACCAGGACCTCGGCATCACCTCTCTCACTTCCACCAAGGCCATCGACGCCGCCATCAAGTCTGCCGTCACCCAGGCCGATGATACTTTCAAGGACGCCCCCGTCAACTGCGCCGGCTACGACGATGCCGACCGCAAGCGCCTTGCCCAGGGTGCTCGCTACCTTCTCGACGTCAAGGGCAAGCCCACCCGCGGCCCTGGCCCCGGCAGCTGTGGCCGTGTCAGCTGCAGCTATAATTCTGCCATCTACTGGTGCAACATGGTAAGTGGATGCTTCCTTTCAGAACTTTGTGACATCGAGAACGAGACTGACAATATGGGAACAATACAGGACAGCAAGGCAAAGACCCTCAACTCCTTCAAGGAGATCTCCGATGGCGCCTACCACGTCATTGAGAAGTGCTACCGTGGTGTTGGCACTCTCGTCAGCGGTCGTGCCTTCCACAAGGACAACTGGACCGTCGTCGCTCGCTGGGATCGTTGCTAAGTAGTCTCAATAGTCGCCCATTCTCACATCTTATTCGGGAGGTTTACTGAAATTCGGGGTTCAACGCCTAGTGGTGGATATATGCATCGGTGCAGTGCCGTCACCCTGAGAATGAAACTTGGGGGTCAATTTTGGAAGAACAAGGAGAAAAAGCCAGTCGTTTTAGTCCAAAAGTAGTGGAGCAATCCAAAAGGCTTTCGGCTTACTGACTCATTCCATGATTTCGTGTTCAAGGTACCTGATTCCGTCATACATGGACAGGAGAAACGTAGTATAGATCTATCTTATCTGCATTCTAAATGACCACAGTCGTAAGGGTCATCTATCCAGGCTGGTCCCTTGAATTGATGACAGCGTGCGTTTACAAGGCGTTCTGCCCACTGCGGTTTGGCCAAACCATAATGTAGCATTTCGACAATTCCCAAACCCACCATTTGCGAAATCTTGGCCTGGGACGTCAACATGAGTTTGAGGACTCTACCCCCAGAAAGATGCTTCAGTAAGCCCAACGCCATGTATAGATCGCGCCTCGATTCCAGATTCTCGCAGGCGGTAACTCCATCGAGAATGCAGAACACGGTTTTCCCCACAGGCAGTTTTTCCATGAGTCTAGCAAATAGTCGACAAAGGGTTTCCATATCACGAGCTTTCACTGATCGCCTTTCGCAATAGCGTACGATTGGTTCGGCGCTAAGGTTGAGTTTAATCTTTTCTTCCATCATTTTATCCAGAAGTTGGCACACAAGACTAGCCATCATTGCTTGAGGGCGGTATCTCTCTGCAGAATGGTCGTCCAACTTGGTGCAAAACCAGGTGATGGTGATGGCGTTTTTTTCAATTATGAGGTCGTTCGCCACTGTCGCAGCTATGTAGCTGAAAGTCGTGATCCCATTACAGGAGTTTTCCGCAGCATCTTCTGAACCATTGCCATTAAAAAGAATTGACCAGACCGGGCAGGATGGGTCTAAATTTTCACGGAACTCCTCCAGAGATGGGTGGCAGAGAAAAGGATCTGCCTTGGACCAATGAACAAGGCTCCTGGAATTGCGAATACAGTCGACGATGTCATTCGGAACAAGGTTTTTGTCATATTTGAGATGCTTGAAGATACAATCCGTTATTTTCATCGTCGCCTTTTGTCTCAGTATCGGAGGCAGCGCGTCATTGATGTCTTTCATATCGAAAGTCGAGAACTGAGCAGGTACGCAAGGCTGCATTTCGCTGTAGGCAGGCGGTGGAGAGGTCTCAAGGGGGTGGTGGGCATTGTCGGTCATGCCATACATGTAGGCCTTCTCTGGTATGGGAGAAAACATGGCTTCCAGGCGACTCTTTAATAGGTTGAAGTTTTTGGTGGTTGGTAATATTCAGAAAAAGAAAACTGTTTGGTTTTTGAGTCGTGCTGGTTATTATCGCAATCTGTCGTTCTCGAAACCGTTTCCCTGAACCCCGAGACGACTGCTCATTTATAGAAGGGCCCAAGCTTGAGTCATACTCCATCAATCGGTTGAAGAAGTAGTGGTAATAGGGAGAGGGATAGGCAGAGATAGACATGCGAACAATGAAAACCGAACAGGATATGTGTATGACCCATGACTACGGGGTGAAGTAGAGAAAGGTCGGCAAATCAAACACCCGTGTCAAAGAGCGTGTTTGATCCCGCGGCAAAAAGCATTGGAGCCCTTCAAATTTCTAGAGAATTACTGCCCTGGAAACTCCGATGCGTCTCGGGACAAAGAAATTCATCAAGCCAGCCACGCGCGGCTTCTGAAACGCGAGACGAAGATCAGTCAAAAGAAATCAAAGACCATGCCCAACAATTCTTTCGAGAAATGAAAGCCTCGGCGCCAAATAAGCCAATAATTCAATGACAATCAATGACAAGAAAATCTATTATGAATCATGTGATATCTCACTACAATGATAGACACTGTGGCTGCAAGCCACGTTCCACGTCTTGGTACCACAGACAATCAGGTTGGAATAATGACACCGAGTAGCTTATTGGAATATTTTGAGGTCTGGCACTAGACACAAATGAATCAAAGGGATGTCCATCTCTGCAGATGTTGAGATTCTCGTCTCATCATATGGCCTTCATTATTGGCAGATCTGTATCCCCTTCTAGAGTAAGAATGCTTCGGTTTGGTGGTGCAAGTGGTAAAGAAATATCAATGAGTATCCCTTCAGTTACTGCTTGTACAGCTACTAGAACTGCACTGCTATAATTTCAGCTCCTTTCATGTCTCCTGAGGTGTGTTTCTCAAGTTACCTTACTTAGTACTTAGAAAAGTGTTCAAGAATCACGTAGCGCTTTCAGTCATCATTTTGCATATTTCTCACAATAGCGTCATGGCCACAACTGTCATTTGAAACGTCCAATAACGTATTTTGTGTCTCTAATATCTCAACCTCCGCCGGGCCACGAATCGCCTCAGGGTTCCAATCCGGCAGAGAAATCAGGATAGTCGTCACAGGGTGATGGGATCTCTGCTTCCTGTGGGACTTTGATGATTTGATCTTCACTCCTGACTTTTTTCTCTATTCCGGAAGCCTCGTGCTTACAAGTCAGAAGTAGTTTGAAATATCGAGGTCCTGTGAGCAGCTCTGCAGAATTGGCTATTGCCACTAGTGCGTTGATAGCCTTGTTTGTGTCATCAGTGAAATCGCAATACTCGTAAGAGCATATTTCGTCGATGACACAAATTATCTGACTTCCTTCAGGAGTCTGTGATACCAGTTTGTTAAATATCTTGCTCAGCACCCCAAGTTCCCATTTACCGATGTCATCCCAGTTGAGCTCGCTATTGATGGACGATAGGTCGCATTCAATCTTCTCGGCCATCATCTGGTCTCGAAGTTTGCACACAAGGCTTGCCATCATTAATCTTGAGGAAAGATTGACTGGCTTATAAGGGTGTGTTCGATCCTCCATTTGGGTATCATCAGCGCAGAACCAGCCAATGACGAAAGTCGGGATAACATCCTCCTTGTTCCGTTTGCATGCGGATTTTTCCATTACATTGGCGGCTAATTTGCCAGTCGTTGAGATCACCTCTCCGTAGTGCTCCCCAGCCATAATCAGCAAGCAACGGGTTGCCTGTGGGTTCCTCCGGACGAATTTCTTGTAGAGATCGTTCTCGATTATCAAGTCCCAAGTTTTTTCTTGGTCAGTACTCAGCTTGGCCTCGCAGAACATCTTGCGTTTTCTCGCCTGCTGGGGCCAGACCTCATTGTATATGAGATACTGGAATAGTCTTTCCGTCGTCATTTCGCCCTCTGGTTCTTCCATCTCGGCGGTTGCTTCTACTTTGAAGTCTAGCTCACTCTGTTC